AAAAAAAAAAAAAAAAGAATGTATTCTTGGGGCTGGGAATGTGGCTCAGGTGGTAGCGCGGTTGCCTAGCATGCGTGAGCACGGGGTTCAATTCTCAYAAAAATAAGAAATAAAATAAAGATATTGTGTCCACCTAAAACTAAAAAATAAATATTTTTTTTAAAAACGAATGTATTCTTGGAAGTGGGCTGGGGATATAGCTCAGTAGTAGAGTGCTTGCCTGGCATGCAGAAGGACCTGGGTTCATCACCCATTACTAAAAAGGAAAAAAGAAAGATTGCCACAAGAATGCCTTTATGCTGGGCACATGGGCGCAAGCCTGTAATCCCAGCAACAGCAACTCAGGAGGCTAAGACAGGAGGATTGCAAGTTTAAGGCCAGCCTCAGCAACTCAAGGATACTCACAGTAATTTAGCAAGACCCCCCCCCAGCTTTTTTTTTTACTTGTAGATGGCACACTGCCTTTATTTTACTTATTTGTGTGTGGTGCTGAGGATCAAACCCAGTGCCTCACATGTGCTGGGCAAGCACTTTACCACTGAACTACAACCCCAGCCCAAGACCCTGTCTTGAAAATTAAAAAATAAAATAAAAAGGGCTGGAGAAGCAGCTTAGTAGTAAATTTCCCCTGGCTTCAATCCCCAGTACCAAATAAAAAGAGAAAAGAATGCATTCATGAACAAGTCGTTGAGGCAGGGGCATGGTGGCACATACTTGTAATCCCAGCTACTTGAGAAGCTGAAGCAAGAGGATCACAGGTTCAAGGCCAGCCTCAGCAATTTAGCAAGACCTTGTCTCAAAAATAAATAAATAAATAAATAAATAAATAAATAAATAAGAAGGTCTGGGGATGTAATTTAGTGGTAGAATGCCTCTGGGTTCAATGCCAAGTACCTCAAAAAAAAAAAAAAAAAGGAAGAAGTTGTTGGTCAGTAGCTGGGGAGCCCAAGAGGCAACAGACTGGCAGGTAAGAATAGGGATGCTGAAGTGAAACAAGATGAGATTTAAATTCTGGCTCTGTGATGTAGTAACTGTGTGACTTGGGCAGACTCATCATTTGTTAAGTAGCTTTCATGATTAGACCTAACTTATTGTAGGGCTTTGATATAGCTCAGTGGTAGAGTGTGTACTGAATTTTCAGGAAATCCTGGGCTCCATCCTCAGCACAACCACTATCAACACCACCACAACAAAATCACCCCTGTTTTATTGTAAGGATTAAACATGAAAATTTATGAATAAGGCTTTTTGAAGGGCTTAGCACATAGTAGTAAGCACTCAGTACACCATAGCTGCTTCAAATCATTTTTTCTAAAATGAAAAGGATTGTATGCAACTCAGAAGGATAACTCAGAGAATAAAAATGAGATGAGTGCATGTTAGGCTTCTCCATAGTCAGAAATAAATATCCCATATGATCATCCAATTTCAAGACATTCTCTGTGCACCTCACAACCTTCTGATAACTAACCTGTCTTCCTTCCCAGGTGTTCTGATTGCCAAAGAGAAGAGCCTTAGGGAGTGGGTTCGAGATTAGGAGGAGAAGGGCCCGGGCTGTGGCTCAGCGGCAGAGCACTTGCCTAGCATTTGTGAGGCACTGGATTCAATTCCAAGCACCGAATAAAATCGAATAAAATGAAGGTATTGTGTCCATCTACAACCAAAAAAAAAAAAAAAAA